TATTCTTCAGTATCTGCTGTCCTTCTGAAAACATACTTGCCTCATATAATATATCTCTTTCATCTTTAATTAAGTCACAGAATCAATACACTCAAGCTGTAAATACTTATATTCTTTTAAACAGTACGTAATGCTAACGAATATATAGATTAATCTGGAAAAGGATTACAGGGTAGATTTAGGAAACGTTCCCCTTCCTACTGACGCAGGGAAGTACTGGAAGAGCCTCCTCTGAACATTACTGTCAGTTTGTGAACATCTTATTCAGTTGATCTGACTATGAAAATGATACTATCATCTAAAGAATATTCTCTTAATTTGCTGAGGTAAAAAAGTCCTTTTACAATTTTACTTAAACAATGGTGCTATAAACATTTTCTTAATGAGTGCAACACTTCATTGAAATAATAACTGGAAATATTATACAACACATTTTCACCTCTATTATAAAGGCATTATTTGAGTTGTAGTTGACTAAAAGGAATTTCAAAAACTATGGTTTAGTGCAAATATGTTCTTGAATGCATCCCAAATGTATGCTGAAGGGGAAAAAAAAGCTATGATAAATGACTTCAAATGGATTTACACACACAGCTTGCTTTCTGTATTATAATTAATGCTAATAATAAGCAAACCTCTCCAAAAAGAAGGCTTGTTCTATAGCTGAATATTTCAAGACAGATTTTTCATCTATTTTCTGTCAAAGCAATTTTTTTAAGGAAATGAAATATTTAGATTTCATAAAAATACAAATACCTAGCTTCACATTTCCCTAGGCTTATGACTATGATTTGCATGTAATGATAAAATTAGAAGTGCAAGCTTGCATAGTTTTTTATGCTACTCCACATTTGATATAAAAATAATTTCTGTGTATTTTAGACAATCATTTCATTATATTTATTTATCAATACATTGTAAGAACACAAAAGCACAGAGAGGAAGCTTATCTGCTTATTTAGAAGCTAATTTAGTTCTATTTACTTTCTACTCATTAGCAAAGCTGAAGTTTTAGGAAACCTAACACATATGGTAGGTTCAGTGCCTTCATTAAGCATTTTATTCTAACACATTAGGAAGTGGGAGTGGGAAAAAAAAATCACTGTTAGTTTTTGTTTTTCTCTACAAGCCTGTGAGCACCATTATGGTTACAGCACTTTGCAAACACTTTATTTACCAGAGAAGAAGTTGGCACTGTGTGCTACCAAGGGACACCAGTTCCAATATGCCAATATAGTCTGGTCACTGTCAGCTTCCAGTGTCAAAATCAATTAAGTAGTTCATATATAACAGAAACGGAGCACAGAACTTTTAAAATTATGACAGTTTTTCAAAGCTTTTTTTTCATTCAAACCATAAATGTGAAATGATAGCATGCCAGAAAACTAAAAAAATTAAAAAAAAAAAAGCAGTATGGACTTTCAGATTTTGTTCAAATAATCTTACAGATATAGATATATATACCCCAATTTCTTACTCTTCAGAACACAGCCAGACTAAAGGAATCCCTTCTCCCACCCACTAGTTCCAAGCCAAGCTTTATTCCAGTGAGCCAGCCAGCTGTCACATATAGTCCCTCTTCCAGACCATCTGCTTTTTCTGAGAAAAAAATAATTACATTTCATCTCCTCAACTAGAAACCCAAACCAATCCATGATTCACCTGTTCCTTGTGGACCACAAACCTCCAACACCACACCTCAAAGAACACCTTTAGGTACTTTACATGCCAAAAAATCTCTTGTGCATCCACATGTCATCTATCTTCTTTAAGTGAGTCATTAACTTTTCTCCTCAAACTCAGATGAAGATGGTGACTATTTATTTAAATGACAGGAGAGTTTACCAGTCCTCCTAGTCAACCAGTCTAGCTCCCTATCACACTCCACAGCTCATTCACTGCACAGGAGTTATTGGGGTACCAAATTAGTACCAAATTTTTCAGTTAGGCTGAGAACCCTTTCTTCTGCACAGGAAAGCACAAGAATCATCAAAGCTCAATTATAATAGATTTATATTTGCTATTAATGCTGGAAACCCATGTAAGGCTGTACTAATCTGAAGTGACATGCTTCAGAAACACAGTGGGTATAACATCAGAGGAGCCACAACTCCATTTCCCATCACATGCCTGGGACACAATACATGTAGAGAAGAATCATGCATGTGCACAATTCTAACCCCATGTTCAAGTTGGGTTTTTGGTTTTTTTTCCTATTCCTAGAGGAGAACAAACTAGAGGAGAACTCTGCTTCAGGCAAAATTTCCCATTGACCATCTTGGAAAGAGCAGCTTAGCTTCCAGGCAGGTTATAAAGCCCCCAGCTTTTAACAGTGATACTGGCCCAAGCTGACAGAAACACATAGCCCTGCAAGCCAGCAGCATTCCTGCTTTGAGCTGGGCTGCCAGGAGGCCAGCCTGGATAGCAGGCTCTCCAAGGGCAGAGAGAACAGCCTGGCAGGGTGTTCAACCCTCTCATTTACAGACTGCATGCCATTCCTCTGAGGAAGGCAGATCATCCAAGAAAGCCCAGTTTGACCTCCCCAGGAAGGAAAGCTGGTGAAAGCTTTAGTGCAGGGATAGTTGCTGAGAAATTAGGGTCCTGTGGAAAACGCACAGAGTATCTCCATTTTACTCCTGCACTGGAGTGCTCATCACCCTGTGTTACAAAGAAAGCAGTGCAAAATAAGCTATGCTTTTATAAATAATAATAAAAAAAATGAGCATGTTACACATAGTAAGGACCACACCCTGAACATGTTGCTCCTCTAACATTTACAGTGAGCCCAAGGGACTGGATAGTAAGCTGATGCCAATGAATCTGCCATCACTTTGGTAGCAGCAGGATGAGATGGGAAGGTCTGAAATCCTGGATCCAAGCAGTTTTCACTACAATTTACTCACTACAATTTATTCACTACAATTCAGCCTGCTGCTTTTCTCCTTGGAGAAGAGGGAGGATATCTGCCTGGAGCAGTGAACCCTGCCCAGCCAGTCAAATCCTGTCACCTGCACGTGCACCGGATCAGCTCTCAGACCACACGGGAGGAAGGGAGGGAGAGGAAGGGATGGAAGCTCACAGCTTCCTGAACATAGGCAACCCACTGCCCTGCCACGGCAGTGTGTGCATTTTTTCCAGTGAAAGTTAGTTACCTGAGTCAGCTAAACTGAGAAGCTATGACAAACCTTGCCCATGTTCAGGATGCCTTCTTGGTGACCACTCCTAATGAAGTCAGTATTCTAGCTGGGGGCTTACCAAACACACCCACGATGAGGACTGTAGGTCTCTCTTATATCTGGCATGAGCTGCCTGGACCCACCCTACAACAACCAGCAAAGTGCAGAACAGGGGAAGAAACACACCATGATTTATTATTGCCAGCACTAGCTGCAAGACATTCCCCACCCAAAAAATAAAGGGCACATGAGGAACGACCTGAGCTTCTGCAGTCTCTCAGGCAACATTTCCCTCTGCTGTCACCTCTAAAAGCGTGTCCTAGAGGTCTAAAGGCATATCCTTGTCTGAGAGCAGTAATTGCTGTGTTATACTGCTCAGGACGGGTATGAGCAAATTGCTTCAGCTCCTGCTAAACTGAAGTCACTCTTCTCCTAAATAGCAGCAATTGCTAAGCACCATACTTTTGAAAAGGAAAAGAAAAGCTGAGTGCTGCCTTCCTTGCCATTTTTGGAACTGTTCTGTAATCTGCGCAGCTCCAGAGCTGCAGCTGACTCCACAGCACCCTTTGCAATGACCAGAGTAGCAGCAAAAATATCCACTGAATTTTTTGAATATCAGTCCCAACATTCCCCTCTCATCTATGCCCACATATCTGTAATTTTGTTTCCAAATCCTGAAACCCAATAGAAATCTTCCCTGGTTTAAAATCTTGTTTGCTTGAGCACCTACACTTTTAATTGCAGTTTTTGGATACAGTTTAAAGATATATAGAAATTCTCCCAGATATCTTTTGCTAGAGGGTCAGCTGAGAAACAATTTAACTAATTCTTGGTGAATTAGCGTGGCTTATTGCCCTCCTCCCTTCTACACACCTACTGACATATTACACATCTAACTACACATCTAACTACACCAGACCAGACCCTCTATGCTGCCAAATAGAAGAGCATGAAGCTCTGAAAAAACACTTCATCACTCTCTTTTCCTTTGTACAGCCTTATTTCAGTAGGAATGAACTTGCAGATGAGCTGAAAAGTATTTCTTTTCTAAAGCACATGTCTTTTTTTCTACTGTCCAGTGAGCAGAAAATGGAATAAATTGCATATACATAATGGCAAGAGACATGAGGACTAGGTGGGTTTTTTGTTGTTTCTTGCAGTTATTATCCTCTGCACCTTTAGATGAATATGCAATCAGAATAGAAATCTTTACTAGGAGAACAAAATTAGGAGAAATTGTGCTGTAAGCAAAGCAGTCAAGTTTCAGTGCATTTTCAGTCCAGTTATTAACATCTGAATAAGTGTTTTCAGAAGCATTAAACAGAATGCTGCTTTCTTCAGCATAACTTTTGATTAAAAACACAATTTAAAAGAAGAAAACCACAAACTGCTGAATTCCCTATCCAGACCATTCATTCTAATTCATGCTGAAAAGTTTCAGCCAGTACTTGCATCCAAATATGCCCACAGTAATTTTAAGATGGAGTACTTGAAGCATTCATATGCCTTATACATTATTTAAATACACTGTAAAAGCCAACAATTTGGTGAAAAGCATCCTGAAATCATCTGCTATATCCTATGTGTATAAGATATTAATCACAGTATCTGACAGTTAATGACAACAAAATAATTTAAATGTGCTGACAATTATTGACCTGAACGCACTTTAGAGAAATGTAAATGCCAGAGGAGAGCAGCTACAGCTCCATGACTAATGTGTGCCCTGGATTCTGACCATCAGCTTTGCTATTTCAGTTTTGTGACCTAAATCTCCCTCCCCTACCCGAAAGAAACAAAAAACCCAAATAAGAAATGTCTTACTTGCTCTGCTTTCTCCAGCGCTTTTCTATCCGCCTGCAAAAACTGGCAGTTCTCTCTTGCCAGCTTTTGGACCAGCTCAATCCGTCCGATGTCATCTCTTCCCTGAAGTTTGCATAAAACTCCTGCCTTAAGGGTGGGAGAAAGAGCAAACAGATACTTAAATCCACAATCCCAGGACATGACACCACCACAAATTTCAACCTTAAAAGAAATGCATCTGTTTTCTCATATTTGCGGTACTTCGGAGCCACTTGCTGAGTGCAAACAAGTCACTGCTTCTCGGGAAACAACTGGAGAGGAACCAAGGCACATCTGAATCTCCAAATGCATCTACTCTGGAGGAAAGAAGGCAGGGCTAACTAAATCAACCTCTCCTCTGAGTGCAACTATCAGATATGCTGTGTTTTATTTGTTCCTGTCAGCCTGTTTCCTGTTACATAAGAGAACAAGAGCAAGAGGTTAAAAACTCATGGGAAAGTTAGCCAGGAACAGCCCTGGAAAAAGAATGAAGTGCAACACAAGGCACTCCTAAAAATAACAGGCTATAATTCCCTCTGCTCCCACTCCAACCATTTTTCACATATGCAAGACTCAAGAGTTAAAAGACAGTTGTGCCACATTTCTTTATTCCATAAATAAGAAATCTGTATATCTTGATTTATTTAGGGAAGGAAATGACATTTGCTTTAAGAGCTATATTAGAACTATTTTTTGAGCTAAATCTGACAGTTATTCAAGCTATGCTGATAGTGTTTTGACAAAATATTCAGCACTGGTTGTTTTCTAAAAATGCCAGATAGATACATATAAAAAGATGGGTTCCTGCTTGCACGTAGGCACAGTAGAGACTCATGGCAAAGTTAGCTCATACGGGCTAAACTGCTCCTTGCAAAAGCAGTGGCTGATATCACAGTCCATTGGTTATGGATATATTCTCTGCATAACCGAGACCTGGGGCGATGGTACCACGCAGTTTTATTAGCCCAGATGTTTCCTGATGGGACCAGCAGATGCCTTGGGTGGACCCACCACGTGGCAGAGCTGTGTTACAGCTATACGACATCAAAGGCAATCTGCAAATAAACATTTTTCTCCCATTTCCTTCACTGTTTTCTTTCTACTGTTCATCTTGAATTTAAATGAATCCCTATCTACTCCAGAATTCACAACATATCTTGTGAGTCAGGCCCAAAAACTAGGGATGCCCTGACTTGCTAACCCTGCAGGGTTCAGTCCTTTGGCCTTGATCAATTCTTGTCCATGGCAGATGAAGGTGAGGGAGAGCCCACCCAAATCATCCTACAGCCTGTTGGTTTCTCCAAGGAAGAGAGAAGTGGGGGTTAAGATTTCTTTAGCTGAAGAAGAAAACAAATCAATTTATGAATAAGTTCTTGAATGCTGATGGACATAATGGTCTCCATGACCAAATCCAGTCATCCTTACCCAACTCATTGAAAGAAATTTGTGCATGCCTACATTCTTCCAGTGGGGAAGAAGACATCTCCTCAGAAGTCTGCATCAGATCCTTCTGTTCTGATGAAGTAAAGGATTTCAGATACAGCCTGTGCCTTGAATGTCTTGTGCTCCTCCTGAGCCCAGCCTCCTGAAGAACCCAACTTCCTCACATAAGGAGCCTGCACACTGGTTTAAAGGTCAGAAACCCACTGAGAAAATAAGGAATTGCATTGCCTAATCTCAAATTCCTTACATAGTCCATGAGTTCAGTGCCTTATCTTCTAAATTGAAGACATCAGTTTATAAACCAGTTCTGACACACTCTTATCCCCTGCAGATCAGTAGCAAGACTGATTTTATCAAATGTGGAAGAATATAGTGAACTGGTTGTCCAGACTAGTTTGATCAACAGAGAAAAGAGGGTATTTAGGAAGAGACTTTTTTTTAAAACTCTACAGCAGACATGTAAAAATTGTCAGATCAATTGTTTCCTAATATTCTCCTTTTTCTCCAGCAATTTACACAGGGAACCAAAGACTTGGGAGGCCTGATGCCTGCACTTCCAACACTTTGTGTGCTTGGGGACATCAGCTAAATCAAGCCTGCTATTTCATGGCTGCAGGATGCTTCTAGCAGAGTGTTACATCAGTGTAATGTAGGCTAAGGACAACTTCAAAGAGTTATTGCCTACTAGGACTTCGGGATGATAAATATTTTGACTCTCTCTGGATCTGGCATCTTAGTATTGTGGAGGCACTTTTTGCACGTTCCTGTTATGCTGCCCTGGTTTAGGAATGGCACTCCCCAGTTTAGTGCTCCCACTTAGACTAAATGAGGTGCCACTTGCCCTCTCCCACTTCTCCTTCTCCACCTCCTGCAGGTAGCTGGAGAGGAGAATTGGAGGCACAAAAGGTAAAGATCACAGGTTGAGATAAGAACAATTTACTGAAAACAGCAATGAGAGAAGAAAACAGTAACAGCAACAATAATAATGGCATATAGGCTAAAAGGAAGGAATGATTCACATGGAAACCCCTCCACACCAGACAGTACCCAACAGATCCCTCCTCTTAATATCCCAGTCTGGAAGAGAATCCCTTCCTCTGCCCCCACCAATGACGAGAGGTGGCACAGAATAACCTCTGGGCCTGGCTATGGCAAAAATTAACCCTGTCCTGGCTGGAACTAGGACAGGTGTCCAGAGAAGGTAGTCCATGACCTACAAGTGGAAGAGATGGTTATGAGTCCCTGCTGAAGAAATATTTATTGATCTTCAGAGTGTGAAGCAAAGCTCAATGGTTAAAACCACTTATGGTAAGAAAAGGAAGGGGGGCTTCAGTTTTGGGGCAAGAGTTGGCTTCAAGTGGGACAAACATCCAAGAGAAAAGCAAGGTTTTGGATGTTGGGTCTCTCTTTCAGCACTTGCCCTCTGCCTGTGCTCACACAGAGCACATTGCTGCCTTCCACCTGGACGAGCACCCCAGAGGAGCAAGTATAAAGAAAAGCCCATTAGCCCTTGTACAAATCCGGTCTGTATTCAAACTTTCAATTTCATTGAAGAATCACATTATCCTGTTCAAATAACCACCAAGCAGAAATACTGTGCTTTAACATGTCCCTTCCTCCTGTCACAGTTCTTTAATTTAAAGAGTTGAAGAGAACATGATCAAAAATATTTATTTTTTAAATTAAAAAAATATTTTAATAACTAAAAAAATATTTTTTAAATTCTAAAATATTAATTAGGTTTTCAGAGGATAAAAAATTGATGGGAGGGCTAAGGTATTATTAAATTAATTATATATATTTGGCTCTGAGAGTAAAGAATGAACTTGAAACACAAAAGGCTAAATACTTTTTTTCATAATTAAGAAAAAAACTATTAATCCTTTACTTTTAGTTCTGGTTTCCTCACTTATGCTGACTTTCCAGTATAAATCTTTCTGCTAAATACTTGTAAGAAAACACCCAGGTCAATTAAATAATTAATTGATGACAGTTTCTTAAACTTGATTAGGAAAATGTTCACAGTCTCCAATTACTAGTCATTTTCACTTCTCAATACAAATTTAATTTTCAAGCAATACTTTGGAAGCTGTTGGACAAAAGGGCAAAGGCAAGTCACCCTACCTGCAAAGTACAACTTTGATTTTCATTTTGTGCAGGCATACATCCTCCAAAACCCTTGTTGGTGCTTAGACATCTAATTCATGCTGACCAAAACAGATACAATTACTAATATATGTGAAGGTGAAAACCAAGAAGTTGCATAGTTTAACTGGCTTTACCTTAATGAATGATTAAAGAATGAACCTTATATTAAGGCTTTACTACCATTCATGGCTCAAAATTACTATAATTAAGTGTGTTTATGTAATATTTGAAACTAAATTTCAAAAAGTTTAATGGGAACGACAGCAAATCAGTCACTACTGAGGGTGGAAAAAGGAAGATGCTGACAAAAGACTTTCTGTTTCAGCATATCCATTGGAAATATTCCCTCTGCATAGGTCATAAATGAGCATGCTAGCAATGACTTAGAGGTGAATTAACACAAGACAAGATTGGATCTTTTATTTACATAATTTCCATCGTTTACAGCGTGTTGGCTTTTGAAAATCCCCTTCCCAATTTTTCCACACTTCCACCAGTTTAGTCAACTAAAGTGTAAATCAAGCCTCTCTCCCACAGAGTAGTGTTTAGAGCAGGCACCACACCCTTCAACTCTATTAACAGAAGGTTTGCAGTGGCTTGGTTTTCTTTCACTGTACCTCTCTCTCTTTCTGTAGCCGGTGAAAAAAATATAATTATTACTGGCTTCACCTTTAATCAACCTGAAAACTTAAAACCATGTGCCACTGTCTCAAAAGGCAGGATCCCTTGCTTTGCTTCAGTCATATGCACAGTCCCACTGAAGTACAAAAAATCACTCCTTTACAACAAAGTGTATTTGGCTTTCACTGGATGTCATTTTTATGGTACTAACAAACTGGAGCAACCATTGCTTTGATAACACTCCTGCTCTCCTCCCAGCAGAGCACATGAACCCTTTTGTTAACTGCTCATTTAATAATTGTATAATTTTAGATGTGTTTCATATTCTTTAAATTTTAGAAGCTGGTTTCCAGTCAATTAAAATCTGGGTGTAACAATACCCCAATAATACATTTTTATGGGTTTTTATAATTATTCCAGGTAATCTTTTTAGCTGGCTACTTAGGAGCTTTGCACATACATTGTCTACATCATAAATGGGAACAAATATTAAAAAAAAAAATATCATAACTACAGCAGCCAAGTAGAACTGAGAATACATTAAATCCTTTCCCTCCCCAAAAAAATCCAACAAAAAAACAGAAAGCCAAATTTTTTGTGCAGTGTTTTCCTCTGGCTCCTTTCTATATCTCTGTGATGCATTCTTGGCTACATGGCTTGTACCTTTCAGCTAAGCTTGCTCATAGACATCAGCATAAATCCTGTCTTGCACACAACTTTTCAGTTTGGCAAAATGTTAGGAAGATAAATCAGAAGGAGGAACTGCAAGCTGCTTATAGGGGAAGGAGAAAAGGTGGCAACTGGTGGGGAACATAACATTTGCAAGAGAAAAATTAGGAGAAAAAACAAGTCAAGACTGGGAAAAATCAATTTTAAATTAAAAGCAATAATCAGTACCAGTACAATGAGCAATACAGCTACACTTGCACAGCTTGAACACATGAATTAGATGATTGAATGAATTGCAAATTAATCAAAAAAGATTCACAGAATTAAAAAATGCAAGCGGTCCCACAATAAAACACTCTAAAAGGCAGTTTAGTTTCTTCCGAGCAATATCCAGAAGTGTGCTTTGGTTGTAAATGAGGGCAGTTAGGGGATGAAAGAAGAAGGTTGTTGCTTGCACTTGACTGGCTAATAAGTATCCCTATTTCATTGCATGTCTACTTACAGTGATTAAAATTCAATCAAAATGTCATATGTCCCTGCCTCCTAAAACACATCTCATTTTACTTTCACATCTGGTATATGCTATGTGTATTATCTAAAAGGAGCAGAAAGATTGCTGAAGAATGCTGTCCAATTGCAACATCATGGGATTAATTCCCAGAGTAATCATCAATCTTATTCTAAATAGTCACATAAGACGAGATCCAGCAGACTTTTTCCCTCCTACATGCTCCCTGCACAGAACATCGAGGAAAATCCACTTCCCAGAGCTATTGAAAGCAGTTCTTCAACTTATAGAACTGAAAACATTCCCAAGACTCCATTAATCTTACACATGTACCTGTGCATCAGAAGTATCCTTGAGCTCTTCCAGTCCTTTTATTTCTTGACTGCTGTTTTCTTCATTTTGATGAATTGCTAAAATAAGAAAGAGGAATATATTGGAAGCAGGCAGGTTTAAATCACAAAAAGCAGCAAAGCAGCATGGTCCACTTTACATCAAATAGGATGACCACTCAAGGAATGTTTAAACTTCATTCTGGTTAACTCCTGGAGTGGTTTTGGACAGATCCTGTAAGGTACACTTTACTGGGTTTGGAAAAATGTTAAATACAGTATACTTTATTTTTCCCCAGGCAGTAAAATCCAGTTCTAAATTGTTAGTTATGCTACTGTTAGTCTTGATAAAACAATGACATTTAAGGAAACTCCACTTTTCCATACATTGTAACAAGATAACATGACTCCTAAGCAATAAAAAAATAACATCTCCCTCTTCCATTATATTGCAGAAGGTCAGGTCAGACTAAACACCATAAGCAGATTTATCCCTCACCTCAGACTTGGAAAATTCTCTGTAAGCAAAGCGATGTCAATCTTAACAAACATCACCACTAGCCATGAAAGTCATCTCCAGAAATAAATGGTAGCAGGAGATGCTTTATTGAAAGTTCTTTGCTGCTGGCACAAAACCAGCAACCTCACCCAATTAACATGAATTAAATCACTTAAAACCAGCAAGTTTTGCTAGACTTTAAAGTTTTGTATCAAACCTGTAATCCCCTAAAGGGTCAAAACCAGACTAGTTTATCCAGTTAAATAAACAAGGAACCTCTTATGAAAGAGCACCTCAGACTTCTGTATTGCAAACAGCTTCATCTATAGGCAGTTTTACTATCTATACCCAAAGCTACCCTTTCAGTCAGCACAGCCACCTGCAGTATTTAGGTGGGACATTGAGCCCTCTGACATTCTGAATTGTGACACATGGCAGGTTGGGAGAGTCAGACCCAACACATGCAAAGTGACTTTACCTTATACTGTACACATCAACTTACTAGAACCATACTCAAATATCTTTGATCTTGAGTACATCTTGAGTGATTTCCTGGTTTAGCCGTAGCATTTGTGACACCAGAAGTGTCCTTGAAGCAGCAGAGCTATCACATCTATTTCCTGAAAAGCGCCTCATGGCTCATGGCATTGATGGATGAGTGGGAGGGCTGGGCTGGTGTGCTTCCTCCTGCCCACCTCCTCTCTCCTTCACCCCTGTGTACCTGAGCTGCTCATCAGGCTGTGCCTGAACAGCCATAGCCCACAGCACAGTGTATTCAGACAAGGATCACCAGTCCTGTGCTGCCTTAAAACCATGTCTGCGAGCTGAGGCAGCCCAGAATTTGATTGATGAGCAAAGGGAGCAGGAGAAGGGCTAGGCAGATAGCAGTACAACCTTCCCCAGGCATCCTCACCTATCTATCCTCAGCCCTCAGCCTGAATCTTCAGACATAACCAGGTTACCATGGCCAAGCTCACACACTTAACATGAACCATGAGGTCCAGCTTGGTGTGTCTGTCTGTGTGCTGTGGGTCTGCTGCAGACAAAAAGAAGCCTAACATTTAGGCAGCATCTAACAAGTTTAAAGAAAAGTAACTTTGAACTTTGTTCTTGACCTCTAAAATAAATTGTGGGAATTTATTTTTTCTTACAGCAGTATTGCTGCTGATATTGCTATATGCCATATAGGATATAATTTTGTTTCTTCCCCCACAGTTATGCTATAAAAAAAAAGGTAATAAAAATGTAATTATAAAAGGGGAAATAAATCATTCTGTCAATACAGTTTATTCCATTACGGGATCTTTTTAAATCCATTACAAAGGAAAACAGAGTTCTGACATAAATCTTCACCATTGGGTTTGCAGGCATCACTTTACCAGCAAGCCTCTGAAACTCAAGGTGAACACTGAAAACACGAGGTCAGACTATGGCTGTAACAGACAGCATGTATAATGGGCATCAGATCCCAGCATACCGAAATCTAGGAAAAACCAAAACACTCTCGGGGTATTGTGCCATATCTCTGCCCCAGCCTGGAAAAGGAACAGCACAATGACCCAGTAAGGAGAGGGATGGCCTGAGCAGCCACGTGTGACCCCTGCTTTTCCAGTGCAGGGCAGGGTTTCTAAAGGCAACCTCCTCTATCCAGGCAGGCTGGGGGCTCTGTGCAGTACCTTCCCCTGTAACCCATCTCCCAGCCTTCCTCCCCAAGAGCTGCCTCATTCTCTTGCACAGTGCCACACATGCTTGACCTTGTTCTACCCACTGCCACTGTGGGAGACACAGAGCATTCAGGGCATCGATTTGTTGACCACTACAGAACAACCTGCCTGAGACGGGAATGCTGCAATGCTGGAAGGCATTAACAAATGCTGAAAACCAGTGGTTTGAGCAATTTCTCAAATTGTTAAGTTTGCATTAGCAGAACATTTCCCCAATTCTCCTTTCAATTTTCTGATTTCTTCTAAAATCAATTTGCTGTAGGCACTCATGGGCAAAACATGCCCCCAGACTCTGGCTATTAATTATGGCATTTAAAGGAGTGGCACCTTGCTAGTAACAAGACCATGCATCCAGGTTTAAGTGATTTACATTGATCCAGCCAGCTTTTCCACAGTTCTGAGCAGATGGGGGCTCCACAAACAGCTGTGCCAGGGGAAAAGGTTAGTGCCTGCCAACTGGCTTCTTGTCACAAGCCTCAGTTACAAGTGTCCCCTTCCCTGCCCAGAGCCAGGGCAAACACCCCAGAGCATCTTCAACCCAAGTAAAGAGGCAGACATTCAGGGAGCAGCACCTGCTGCTGACCTGGCTGGGCAGGCAGGTTAGAGAGTGGATGGTGGCTGAGCAGAGAAACAGGGACAAGCAGCAAACAGCCAGAACTGAGGGCAGAAAGATCTCTTACCTGGCACAAAGGGAAAGAGAAGAGGGTGCATGACCACAACCCACAATGAATACAGCTATCCTTGAGTGCTGAATGATTTTAAAGACATCATTTTAAATACAATGAGAAAATTGTCTCAGTTTAAGTGTACTCTAAGTGAAGGGCTTAAAAAGAAAAAGAAATAAAACGGTTTTTTCATCAGCAATTTCGCAACTCAACTCTAAAGGAACCTGAATAAGTTTATCATCCAGACCCAGCTCTCCTTGGCCTCAATGTTGTTTAGACTGTGTAAGGAATGTAGAAAAGAAGCAGTAAATATTTTCTTAAAGGGAAAAAAAACCAAATCAGACCTCACACTGACGTTCTTGCAGCTCTCTTGGGAGACAAGGAACATTTGGCCTCTTTTTCGCGAAATTTCCATCACAAACTTGATTTTTTTGTCCTCCCTGCCTTTTATTCAAACCCATAAGAACCAGCCACAACTGAACCATTTGATTACACCCAGGGAGCAATACTCAAGGAATCACACTATCTCATACTTCTTTCCCATCACAAGAACACAGTCCCTTGAAGGCTGAAGTAGCCACACAGACAAGAAACAACCCCTAATTATATTTTCTTGGTTTCTGTAGGAAAAGCTTACCATGTGTTTTGTCTATAGAACAGAGAAAACCCACATATTTCTTAAAATATTCTGGTATATTTAGAAATTTATGTTAGTGGGGGCCACCACATACATGTAAGAAATTGATTGCAGCATTTTTAGACACAGTATGGCCCAGGCACTGCTCTCATGGGTTATTGTGCATGCAATACAAGTTCTGTCACAAAATATAAGAATTCAAGGATAATTTCCTACTTGCTGTTAGCTGGCCATTAATTTTAAGATAAAAAAAAAATTTTGATATTGTAAATTCAACCATAGGACAAGCAAGCGGAAGCTTAGGGTGGGATGGAAAAGTATTTCCCAGGCAAATGCTGATCCTGGAATTGTACATACAAAAAAAGTTGTGAACTTTGGAGCTGAGCCAAATGTTTCCTTCTTCACCACCATAAATCCAGCTTTGCTCCCTGATACAAATATCCCAGCATGTTTTACAAAGCAGTGATAACAGGGAAAAGCAAAGGTAGTTTACTCTGATCTATATGTATCTAATTAATGCTGTATTTCGGTTCAGTCTTGAGACCTGAGACAGGAAAAAAATACAAACAAATGTAGAGTGACTAGTTCCCTTTTCCACCTGCAGCATGTCTCATTTGGAGGAAAGGCCACCATGAATGAAAGAAAAAGATGTCAAATGAGCATTAGCTTGCTAATGTGCAGTTCAAACATGTCCATTTGCAAATTAGTCTAGGGAATTCAGGATGTTGATGTTTTATGGTCACTTAAGGATCTCAAGGGCCATCATCTGATCTGAGTTCCTTGTGTCCCCGCAGAGCAGAGCTGAGATTTTACTAGAAGATTCTTCTGTAAACTTATGTTGCCACAAAGACCTCTTCTGGGGGAGAGGTTTGTCATTTAGTGATTCCATTTCAGATCATAACGAAAAAACAAGAAATCAAAATAAATAATTTTGTACCTGCTACTACAGCAGGATCAGCCATCACATGGGGAAATGAAAGGAAAGGGAATGCAGCCATTGCTCACACTGGAACCAGCCAGCTGTGTTCCCCCCTGCTTTTACTGCCATGCCACAAAGTTTAGTGTAGGTTCAAGGCACTGGAAGGAATTTGTCTTTCCAGCAGCATGGAGAATTACACACATGTTAAAGGGCTCATCTTAGCTAGACAGGTTGGCATCCAGTGATGGTAACAACAGACACCGGCAGCACTACAGACCTTCTCCTGCCTATGGAAGAATCTGCCAAGATTACCCACAGAGCAGTGCCTCTGTGACACAGCTCTTTGTGCCACAAACTTGAAGGTAAATTAATTACATTAATTACATTTGACGCGTAAGGTTTTTAAAAGTCGCATAATATTACAAGCACATTATTTCATTTTAAGGCTTGGTCTTGTTGAAAATAGCAGAATCGTTTGCCCACCTGAAAGTGGGAAAGACAGTTTAAAAAAATCCACAAATAAAGCAACCCCTGGAACCCACAGCGTTGTAATCTTCCCAGAGGCTTTGCTTTATTGTGCTTTCTTCCTTTTCTATAAATGAAATTTCTTCTTTCTACCCCTTCTGGCTGCAAAGAT